TTTAGTCCTCTTGAAATCCTAATATGGCACGTTTGTAAAGATTATTTAAAGATTAGGTGGTGGCAGAGTGATTTCTCGAATGTTACCTCGCGAAGATCGCCGTGACGTTTTAAATACTGAGAGCAGTTGGATACGCGGATAAAAGTCTTGTGCTTAAAAGTTATTTACAACAGGAGGCCCGGCGTGTGCGCGGCTTAACGAGCCTTTGAAAAAATTTATGCGCGTCTTAAAACTTTCTTAATCAGGATTAATGCGGAAGAAAAAGAAGGACACGCTTGATAGACCACGGATACTTTGCACGAGCCTATCGCCAGAAACGACTTATAATGCGTTGAGATTACAGATATCTAAGTATATAATTATAGATTACTAAACGCCTATTCTATATATTGTAGATTTCCTTATGTACGTGTTGCCAATGTAAAAGTAATGCACGAAATGGGTATACAGGAAGAATAATTTACTTTTAAGTATTTAAAAGATTAGTCAGATATACAAAAAGTCACAAAAAGTTTTGACTTTTTAACATCCAGTTTGAACCTACATAATTATTTTGATAGTCCAACAAAATTATTTTCAGATCTATATTTAGCTAAATTTTAGATCCTTCAGCAGAGAGTTTTAAGTTTCAAATCAAAGTAACGTGCAATCGAGCCTTAAAAGTATATAAGGTACCTCGTATTTATACAGCTTTAAGACATAAGTCATAAGACAGTTCTTGTGCGTTACTAAAAATAAGACTTAAGTCAAAAAACACTGTCTTAAGATTATAAATCAGCCTTCTTTCTGCTAACATCCTACGGCCCAGTTGCATCAACGTTATTTTGCGATTTTAAGCGAAACTTAAAACTGTCTTTGTCTGGTTGCTCTTTTAGAGCGAAAAAGAGATAGAAACAGAGAGAGTTTTTAAACTTCTCCTAAAACTATTAGAATATGTTATTCTGCGCAAGCGTGAGCCTTATTTTGCACATCTTGTACATACTCTTTAGCAATAATTAAAAGAACGCAGTTTGAAATCTAGTGTATTATATAGATGTCTGTGGTTGAAATACGCTTCGCACTCAAAGCGCCTTGTAGGTATGTCATAATCTAAATTAAGTCCACAAAACTTTTTCCACGGCGCGAGTTCTCACAAGTCCTTTCCAAGCCGTTCACCGTTATCGAGGGGATAATAATGTCCTCCCGCGGCGCGAGACGAGGAAGAAGATATGAAAAGACTCCGAGGGATACACGTGTACCCTCTCGACGTCTTCCTCGAACAGGCGCATGTGTGCGGTCCTTGAGACTTTACGCCTGGCCATTTCACGGAGGATGTGACGCAAACGCGATGCGAACTAACCGCGTGGTTAGCAAAGATTTCGGGAGATACGCTTTGACGCTCCCTTTGCTACAGACCGGGTCGCGAAAGTGCAAAGATAACGCGGTTGATAAGCGTTATCTTACATACGGTCTCGCGTGTTACAAAGTGATTCTAGTTTTCTTTCTAAAGAAAGACTGTTTAGAATTGTTTTTATTTTCGAGAATGATTTTATTTACTTTATATTCTTATGTTGACTCTGTAGATCTTAGGCCGACAGATTGTCCATATAACAGAAATTGTTCCACCAATATTGCTGCAAATTTTGGTTTTGTATGAATACTAAATATCACTATACAAAATGGATCGTATTGAATGCATTGATTCATAAATTTATATATTTATAATTTATGAATTTATAGGTCTATCAATTATTATTTATGAGTCCCATGAATTCATAAGTTTACGGATTAATGATTCAATAAATCCATAAATTCATACGTCTATAAGTTGCGAGATCCATCACAATGCACGTAAATTTATAGATCCGTAAATCCAGTGAAGTTGCTTCATCCATATATTACACGAACTATAATTTCATTGATACATGAATTTGTGCGAATTAAATTCTTACAGAGTTTCCAAATCCCTGTCTACATCAATATTGCTAATTCTAATTGATAATTCTCGATAATGCATAAGCACAAACAAATTTTGCATTAATTTCTAAAAATTAAAGTATGTATTTAAAAATTTGGCTACATATAATCTCTTCCTTTGGGAAAATTTACTTTAGAAAACTTTAAAAAAATATTTAAAACTTAGAGAAAACCTAAAAAATATGAAAGATATTTTAAACTTTTCTTTAAAGTAACTTTAAAACTCACTTAAGAAAAAACTGAAAGGGATTGAAGAAAATGAAACAAACTGATGAAACTTATAAATTAGAAAATTATGTTAACAATTGTGAACTGTTTTTTTAAAATGATTTTAAAAATTATGAATTTCTATCAAGGCAAGCCTCTTTTATTTTATAGAAAGTTCGCCATTAAAAAATTATTTGGTTATAACGCTAATGAAAAATCTCATAACGCTGCCTTTTATTCTATTCCATATTGGATCTTACTTACGAGAATATGTAGCACCGTCGTGTCTCACTAGTGGCGGTGTCAAGTACTATGTTTGCGGGTAAACTTATCTTAAATTACTTTAAAATTTAAGAGCACTTAAAAAATTTCAGATACAATAAAAAGAATAAAACTTTAGTTGATCTAAGTTTAATGATAGATAATACATAAAACTTATTAATATGTTAATCCATATAGCACAGACCTTCAATTAAGAGATTCCTTCAAGACATCTCTAGAGGCTCTACGTTCTAAGAATTTATAAAACCATCCGAAATATCAAAAAATGTTTGATAAAAAACTTTTACAATAAAATTATATCTATTTATCCACGTCAATAATATTTTTTGAAAAATTACAAAAATTATCTTTAATTAAAAAAAAAATGTTTATTAAAAATGTTATTGACATAAATGAATAGAGATAATTTTGTTGTAAACCTTATGTCTAAAATATTTTTTTGATATCTTGAATAGCTTTCAAGATATAATGAAAAAACCTATTCCGAAAACCGCTTTATATCACATAAGGGGTAATTTCATCCTTTCAAACAATTTTTCCGCCGCAACGGACATTTTCTAAATTTATCTTTTTATATAACTATATGTATACAAAGTTTAATTAAAATTAAAATTTATCATTTCGAACTGTCGGCAAATGTAATGTAGGCAAACAATTGTAGGCAAATAATTTGTTGGCAAATGAAGTTTTGCCCCTTTTCGCCCCTTTGGAAAAGCACGTCAATCTATTGTATATTTATCAAGAGGTGTTTATATAGAACTTTATCATAAGAATATTATGGCGATAATTTAATCATTGAGATAAGAATAAATTACTAATGCTCTATAATATCAGTTGCTTTAATATAATACATTTTCGGACTTATAATACAATTACATAAATGAGTAATAAAAAATCTTTTCCAAACTAAATGATAAAAAATTATATAACATTTATTTCATCTCTGCCTCAACCTCAATGCAATTGCAAAGCATAACAATGTCTTCTAATAAAATTCGTATAGCATCAATTTCAAGAAACATTATAAATAAACCGTATAATTCTTTGTTATTTTAAAATCTATTAAATAAAAGTTAGATAATTCAATGAACAACGGATAATAATCAAAATCTATTTTATGTTCGACGGTGAGAACAGATTTTATTACAAGTAATAGAATAATAGCTGTTGATGAAATGTAAAAAAAAAAGAAATAAAATGATATGTTGAAAACAATAATGATATATTCATTTAAACCTCAATACTTATACGATGACCATGTACCAGATTAATTTTCATCATTTTATATTCTAGTAAAGAATTCCTCTTGCATGATTGTATATAAATACGTAAACATACATAAAATATATAAATATTCCTAAACATATATCTTAAAAAAAAACCTCTATAAAAAAAAAATATTCGCCAACTTTATAAAAAAGAAAATCGAAAATTACATTTCTTTTAATAAAAAATGGATACGAAATAAATACTATCAGCAAAGCATTCCATAACACAAGATACATAAAGCCCATTTTACATTACACACAAGCCAATCTCAAGTTTGTTGCGACAACCAATCTGAAGTGTTGATTTCAAAATAGAAGCTTCAGATTGGCAATCATCTAATGTAGAATGGATTTAAGATAGATTGAAAATGACTAATATGGTCACTCCTCGTCGTCGTTTGTCGTCTGTCCTCTCTCTCTCTCTCTCTCTCTCTCTCTCTCTTTCTCTCTCTCTCTCTCTCTCTCTCTCTCACTCACTCACTCACTCACTCACCCACTCACTCACTCACTCACTCACTCACTCTCATTCTATCTTTGTTTATCTCATGTATATCGATAATCATAACATATGTATGTGCGTATAGTAACGATTCACTAGTTACTTAGGATTTCACTAGTTACTTTCGTCGATACTTTATTTAGTCACGTAAAAGTTTTATTCCTAACTAGAACGTATCTATATAAATACATTCGTTAGTTTTTAGCATTATTTTATTACTAAAAAATAGAATTATCACTTCTCTTCTGAATATTTATTGCAAAAATTTGCACAGTGTTTTATTGGCAGAATGTGTGTACACTCAATACACTTTAAAATCTTTGTATACAAGTCGATGTAAAGATGTATGTTTAATAAAAATTAACAAACAAAAGTTTAATTACGGAATCACAAATATATTTTATTATGCTATTTGATAAAGTACACTTTGAACAATTTATTAATTGAGATATGTTACTTTTACGTTCAGATTATAGTATACAAGAACTGCAATGTACTGAATAATTTTAATTTTCTCAAGTACTGCCAATGAGAAACGTTATAATATTCTATTAATGTCAAGAAAAAAAAGTAACGACTCGTTACATTTTGAATGATAGTATCGAGTTATTTTTATGAGACTTATACTTTTGCAAATCAATAATGAGTGACGATATAACGAATTACTTTTTAAGAAAAAGAACTATAAATAACGAGTTATTTTTATGAAGTAAGATTGCCAACCCTGTATGTATATATATAAATATATAACATAAATATACATGTATGTTCGTCTTGCCTCAGTTGTTCTTAAGATATTGACGTGACTAGTTCTCAGCAAACAATTTGAAATTCAATCGTAATGGTCTTGATTACTGCTACGTCTAAGCATTGCATGTAAGTTATTAAATTATCAAAATGTCAGTTTTTTAATCTAGCGTCAGGCATCATTCTAATTTTATAAATTGCTTTTTTTAAGATTTTGTCTGTCCTTGACTCATCATTCCGTTTCTTTTTTTCACTTTTCGTGACAATCATCATTTTATTATAACTTTATTACTTGGAATCTGTTTTCGTTATCGAACATAAAATGGACATTGGCTATTGTTCATTACTCACTAAATTTTCTCTAATTTTTTTTTAATCAGATTTTATATGACAAGCAATTATACGATTTAAGCAATTATACTCTTAATATTTTTAATTTCATACTTAGTCATATATACGAAATGTAGTTTTTAACCTTGATGACAGTTTCTTATTTACATTCTTTTTTTCTTATTTACATGTTCCTATTCGTATTCTTTGTCAGTTTGAATTATGTTTAGCTATTTTAACGTCTTATGTTTTCAATCTAATTTTAGATTTCACATTTTACTTAATATTTTATTTACGTAAATTAGAAAAAAAATAAAACATTTATCTGAAGAAAAAACGTTCAAAATTACATATCCAGTATCCCTAACGATAAAATACACCCATTTATCAGTAAAATAAATTAAAAGATGATGATTGAGTTCGACAAATCCAACTTATTTCAGCTATCAATTTACTTCTTATTGCATTGTTGTCTTAATCTGATTTTGTTACTGACTTTGTAACAGCGATTTTGCTGACGCTTAACCATTTGCAAGCTACTATTGCCTATTTATGTTTATGTTAACTATAGTCTGTTGTATCATATTTTATGTCTATTACTCTGTTAACATGTAGTCTTTTTCATAAAACTTTGCAATAAATTAAATTAAATTAGATTAAATTAAATTATTTTATTTAAAAAATTACGTTTTTTTATGATTTTAGATAGATAAACTTGAAAATATACATGACCGAAAAAATTTAGACCGCGAGAAATACGAAAAGAATTTAGAAAACGTTACAATAAAGTCAATTGGGAAATACAACTGAAGAGTTTGAAAGTTCTATCTGAAAAATAAGAGAAGATACTCTATCAATCTCAAGTTCCGTAATATTTGAATCAACAGTTGAAAATAATGTATAAAGGTACAATAAAATATGTATCCCAAGTGTGGTAAGATTCATGATTAATATTTTTAGAATTTTGGATATCTTTATCTTATTTCAACATTCTTATTTCCGTCTTATGTTGCCATTTCCACATTTGTTTTTTAACAATCATCTTCAATAATATTAAAAATAAGCACATTGTCTCCTTACAAGCTTTAAAACGACATAATAGTAAGATACATACTAAAGATAAACCCTATAATGTGGAACGTGTTTTAACACGTTTCAGTACGAACCGTATTTAATTATTAATCGTCATTTAATTATTCATACAGATGAAAAACTTCATCTATGCGAGGATTGTAAAAGACTATTTCTGTGAGTAACAAAAATTATGGGAATTATGGGAAATTATGAGAAAATTAAATAATCTTTTTACTTAAATTAATGGTTAACAAATAATAAATACTTTACAGTAAAATACGGTTTCTAAAAAAACACAAGAGGAGAAAACATGTAAAAAAGGAGTGTGACGATTGTATGAATGGTTTCGATAGTGAACAGGAGTTGTTTGATCATTTAGCCATGAAGCATTCTGACGATTCAATAGAGTATGAATGTAAGATATGTTCACTTACATTTACACGTTTAGAGGACTTGAACATACATATGCAAATGCATACAGGTGAGAAACTATATATTTGCAAAGTATGTGCTAGAAAATTATTGTTAGTACTTTTTCTCAATTGATTATGTTTATTTTTACATTTCTGTAATTATAAATGTGCTGTTTTTAGAGTCGCAAAAAAAAAAATAAAATTTAAATTTCGATCTAGCCTAATCAACCACAATTTTATGCATAACGATAAAACGCCGTATGAATGTTCGAGATGTAACAGAACCTTGCGAAAAACTCTTCTTATTGCACATACAAAAGGTCATTCATGATATAACGTTTAATTCATTATCAGATTCACAGATTTATCTTTCTATTTTTGTTACATATTCATATTATAATAGAGTATTGTAATGTATCACATTTGATATATAAAAAATTATTTATTTCTTAGAAATACATGAGTAATATCGTAGTAAAGAACTAACCGTGACTGACAATAGAATAACTGATCAAGTACAATTATACTCTACTCTTAATAATAATGACGAATCGATAATGAAAGAAATTGAAGATAAAGATGTAATTTTTTTACGAGATGTAATATATGCATAGATTGGAGTTGTCCTATAAATACAATTTTTCTAAGGTTACAATAGAACACTATCAGACACAGGATTACCGACGTGTAAATTTCACAATATGCGTTCAGAAGATAAAACCAATCAATAAATTAATTTTTTTTAATAACTTTAATTATTACGTTTTTGTTGGATTTTAGTACGCGAATTAAAAACAGAATTTCTTGAAATTGATATACATATTATATTGTATTGGAAGATGTTGTTATGCTTATGCAATTGGAATGAGATTGAGATTTCAGTATTGAGATGTAAGCAATTGAAGGCCGCACTTCTTATACGTGTTGCTTATACAAAGTTAATGAAAATGCCAAATTTATTTTTATAGGACTTAAACTAGCACTGATATGTTAATAAAACATGATTATGCGATGAAAGAACGTTAAATGTATATTATGAATAAAATATCGTAATTTTTTATCATTTAGTTTGGAAAATAGATTCGTGAAAAGAATTTAATTTTTATAAACATTATTTGTTAACTTGAAATGTGAATCCAAGCAAGCAATGAACATAATCTATTTATGTTCATTTATTTCCGTGTTTGCGTGTGGTTATGAATAAACGCAACTAAAAGTTTTCTCTCACTGCACAGTGGAGTCGATTGGCGACAGAAATGGTCAAAAATCAAAGCGATATTATATTGTTACAAAGAGCTGTTTATATTTATAAGCCTTACGAATCACTGATATCATCAGAATTAATATTTCAGAACGGAGGATCCCCGATATTTATTTTTTATATCAAAATCAAGATTAGAAACTCGACAGAACTCTCTAAAAACAAACTCTCACGCTTTTTAAGCATTGTTTTAAAATTCAAGTTTGCCATATTAGATCCGCCATTTCGAAATTTTTAATTGTAATTGCTAAACATAATTAAATTTCAATATTTTAATAACAAGAGCATTTAATAGATTAATAATAATTAGTTTTGTATAATAATTAATTAAATTTTGTATAAGTATTAAGTTTTGTATAATAATTAATTAAATTTTGTATAGGATATGTGAGTATTAAGTTTTGTATAATAATTAATTAAATTTTGTATAGGATATGTGCACATTCTATAGTGTATAATAATTAATTAAATTTTGTATAGGATATGTGAGTATTAAGTTTTGTATAATAATTAATTAAATTTTGTATAGTATATGTGCACATTCTATAGTGTATCTTAATATAACTTTTTTGTAACATAATATCCCTTTGGCTACATTTTAATAATCCGAAAAATAATGCAAAAATTCAAAGGATTACAAAAGATCGCACTTTTAAATGTTTGCAATACAACAAAAATACAGTGTAAAACAGTGTATTAATTACCCTGTATGCTAATTGCAATAACCAATAGTTTTTATAGTGCATCATTTAATTATGTACATTATATTATGTATGTTACGTTCAATAAATGTATCTAGAAAAGTTTTACATTTCAAGACTATATTAGAGAGGATGAATTAATTTATACAAAGTGTTTTTTACAATTATTATTATTTTTAATAACGGATTATTTCTATGTTTGTCTATATAACGTTTGCCTATAATATTGAAGTATTTTCTAGCTGTATATATAGAAAATTATATATATTTAATATGTAGGTGTTACAAGTGATTTTTGGTCACTTCTGTGATAGATCCCATTGTGTACTGGTAGGAGTAGAATGTGAGAGTACCATCATCGAACTTGTGATGAAACTTAATTTTTTGAATGATATTACCGCGTGTACTACTTTAAATGTACGTTTTGTACTAGCGTGTAGGTGAAAACGAAACGTACCCTAAATGTACAGAACAATCATGATAAAGAATCTCTCAATGCTAATCTCTTAATCCAACTGCGTTTTCAGAACATAGACTCATTTTAAGATTGGATGTACGTGCTGACTATTATTTTTTGTATGTATGACTATTACTTATGTATGTACTATTGTAAATCAGTAACAAAATCTATAGTAAGACAATTGATATTAATAATTTGTTCTCGGTTCAATTATCGAATCATCGCCATATTTCTAGAGTTCTGCGAAAAAACATCTTGCTTTAAATAAAGATTGATGTACTATTCCTGTAAGAGGAAGTATTCTGTTTGCTTACAGATTGATTGTCTACAATACCGTTTGTTCTACGTTACATTTGTCAACGGTTTGCGCACAAATTCTGTAAGCAATAATACTTGTGTGCAAACAAACTTTCGTTTCTTAATTTTTTTGTACAGAAATGTGCTTGCAGGCAATACAACGTGTAAGTAAATGTGACTAATTTGTCTCTGAAATTTTTATTTATACTCAAAAATGCTTGTAGATAATCGATCTGTAGTCAATAATATTATGTATGCAATAATGCAGTTTATACGCAATATTGTCATGTGTGAATACGTGTCTTTTTCTTTTAATTTTACATTTATGGGCAATAGTGCAGACAATTGAGATTTAGACAATAATTATTGTGTGCAAACCGTACTGTCGGTAAATCTAATATAGATTAGCGTTGCTATAGGCAATTAATTTCTAGGCAAAGAGAGCTGCAACGAAATTTATAAATTAGATTTTAGACGCAGAAGGTGAACAACAAATATAATTTTAGTGTAATTATTCAATTTCATCATATTATGTAACTTAGTTGTGCAACGTTAAAGTTGATTTTCATTTAAATATCAAACAAATAAAATAAATTTTAATGTTAAAAAATGTTTTTATCACTAAGAGACATTTACACTTCGTATCAAAATTTCTTTTAAATAAACGCCTAAAAATTAGCGATACATGTGTCATATCTGTAAAATATATACAAATGTACATAAATGTATAATTATTATATAAGGAATAATTTGTGCATTTTTTGTTTTAGTAAAAAATCAAGTTTGGAGAAATATAAAAGAATTGCTCATAATTATATATAAAATTATACATAATTATACATAAGTAATTTTTTATGCATTTCTCTAAATTGATTTTTTTACAATAATGCAAAAATTATTTTTTATATTTTTTCTCTATTTTACTATATTTGTTGTATTAAACAATAATTTGGATATAGTTCCAAATAACCCCCGCTTGCGATCACTTGAAATTTTGCATGTAAATTCTACTTGATGTGAAAAATAAAGAACACATTCTCAACTTCGAGAAATGAAAAAAACAAAATTTTTATTTTACTTTTCATTTTTTGAAGATAGATTTTGCTTCACATGGAAAGCCATATGTCTCACAGGGGAGAGATGGGATGGAAGCAAATCACTATAATACGAATATTTGCATGCGCCATTTTTAATCCTTTTCTCACTCTCTTGCTCCTTTCCTCAATCCCATGCTCTCTCTACACTCCGTCGCTAAACTAAGAAAATTGAATAATTAATTTGTCTTACATAATTATTTTGATGAGCTAACAAAATTACTTTCAAATCTAGCTAAACTTTTAAATATTTCAACAAATCCTTCCTGTGGAAGTACGATTTAAAAAAAATGACAATAAAATAAAAATAATTACTTTAAAATATAACGCTCACAGTAATTAGATATATAAATCACATGATATGATGCAATTGGATATTGAATTGAACAGAGACTTGTACGAGTCGTGCTCCAGTAAGACAAATCGACACAAAAGCATTCGCCATGCCATCCCGTTGCCTATCCTTCGGGGCACATGAATCATTTATCAGTCTCGATCTCCGATCCAAACCGAATTGTCCGCTTGACGATTCAATCTACATCCACTTAGCCGCTAAACGTCTGCGCCCTTATCGGGTGCAGGACGGCGACAGTCATACGGCGTGTCTTATCGCAGCTGGATTCTCATTTTACGAGTCACGGCAATCGTAAATACGACGAAGAAACACGCGCTCAATCGGCAGAAAGCCGCTCGACGCGTATCATGAAAGAACCGTTCAATCAAGCGCGCATCCAATTCAATTCACAGAACGAGAATTCGCTGAGATAAAAAAAATTATCTCGTGCCACAAAGAAGACGATTTTATCTCAATAAAGATATATACCTGACTTTTACGCGAATCGCACTGTTAATACGGTAAATTTGAATCGTCGGGTAGGATAGGCTTGAATGATAATAATTATTTATAAATAAAAATAATATTTCTGTGTATCGTAAAGTATATATCTCATTTCTAAGATTTCTAATATATCGCATTACCGATCCTAATACATTATAGACATATATTTACAGACACAGCCAATCAATTTTATCAATTATGAAATAATTTTATGTCTTCTAGATACGACTGAATTCCTGAATCGAAACCGCCATTAATTTGTACGAGCTACACCTGTTACAGAGCCATTATCATTCTTGCGTTATGGTTATATTTTGCCGCAATCAGTTTCATCCGAGTTCGTGATATGCGGAATACGGCGGAAATAATGATTTCGCATTCATGATCAGTGTCGATGGTCGAGTTCAGATCTCGATGGTTTCGCGTGCGGCGTCGTCGTGTAAGGCTCGTTTCTCTGCCACCGCGGAAGTATGGTAACCTTTAAACCGAGAAAACGAGCGTCCTCAGGCACGAACACCGCCGCTGCCGGCTGACGGAAATGAAATACGGGTGAGAGACGAAGGCACGAACTTAATTTAGGTTGTTACGGTCGAGCCCGCCGTACTCACGCTCGCCAAAAGCGCACTGGCTGGTCCCAGGCGATAAGTCATTCCGACGATAAGCCGTCCCGTATGGCGGCGGGACGCAAAACGACGGAGGTGCAGTTGTCCGCAGACAAGTCCGAATTAAGGTTTCAGAAGAAAAATGCACGGGTACGCGACCGTTACCGCCGGAAGGAAAAGAATTTTGCGGAGGAGAGTACGGAATTTCATTTTTATGGCGGATCGTGTTGTAAAGAACTTTGTCCCGAAGACATTATTGCTGTAAAACGAATGCAAATGTTTTTAAACAACATTTGAAATGTATTTGGACTGAGAGAGTGGCGAATAAATTGTTAAAATATTTCTCACGGCGCATTATCTTTAAATAATTAGGCTCTGTTGAAATAAATCAATAAATAAAAAGTACCGAGCACTAGATATACTGAATTTGTTATATTAATTTGTTGTATTGAAGACGACCCTAACTGAACGGTTGAAACGTTTATATTTTATATAATGTCGTATTAAATAAATTTAATATACACCTCACTATTTAGTATTTGGCTTTTATAGGCAATTTTTATTCGTTAGTTTTTCTTTTAATTAGGTAAGAGCTTTAAAAATACGCAAGTTAAATAAAAAGAGTGTTCGGAACACACTAAAACATTTTTAACTTGTATTTTTTACTAACATATTAGGTTATAATTAAATTTACATTAGTTTTAATTGTAAGACAGAGGAATTTAGAAATAATGAATTTTAAAATCTACTTCTAAGTATTTAATAATATTTTTTTCTTTCTTTTTCCAGAACAAAATGTTAAAGAAAAATACATCAGAATGCTGTGGCCATCCCATATAAACGTTAAGTATTAAAATAAAAAACCTGTTACCACTACTTGATAAAAATGTAAGGAATTTAAAGAACTTTAGAAAAGATTCAAAAAAATTGCGGAGCAACTTTTGTAATTTTACAGAATAATTCAATTTTACAAGATAAAAATTAACCATCTTTTCGAAACAAATGATTTTTTGCGTGCCAGATTGCCATCACGTCATTTTTACGTTCATCGCGTTTAAATCTTGACGGAAGTAATGAAACTTCGGCGAAGATACTTTATAAGGAACCAGAGGGCCGGTTCAAAGGTGTGGTCCCTGACGGACAGCCAAGCGTTGGTCTTAAATCCAAAGCCAAGCGGTGAACAGAGCCCAGATCCTTCACATCCTGCGAACCACTTAGTCAACGAAAGAACGTGCTGCCGCGGGAAGATTTTTATCTGGTGTTTACGGGAACGCGTCGCTCATTAAACTTCTGATGCACTTTGAGGGTCAATATATACACAAGGTACCTATAATTTTCTTATCGCGTGTCAATACTGACATACTGAGATTTTTATTTTATTTTTAATAATGCGCATTAATGAATGAGCGACGTAAAAATTTGATCATCGATACGTTTCATCATGGGGGATGTTTATGTGAAGCTGAATAGTTTGTCCAAGATTTGACGACAGAGGTATGCATTGCGAAACTGTAAATTAATCTAGGAAGCTTGTGAGAATAATCTTTAATTATAAGTTTATTAATCTTTAATTATAAGTAATCAATTATTTTTATTTTCACTCGTTAATGGAATTAATATTCATTTTGATGAATATGCCTTATATTGTTATTAATTTTTTTTGCGAATAAATGTATAGAGTATCCCATTGAAAATTATTGAAACTAATTAACTATTATTTTTTAACGTAGATAGAAAGTAGGAAATGTAAAATATCTTTTAATAGAAGACATTTTTGGCAGTTTGATCTACTTATAAAAATATTTTTATTATTTAAAAAATATTTCTAATTATTTTCTAATTTATATGTGATTAAAACTGCTAAATATTTTCTATTACGAGATATAAATTTTATAAAAATAACAGCTGATTAGAATTCATGAAATATCTTATAGATATATTTATTATCAAGAAATATTAAATATCAAATATTAGCATCTTTTTAGCAGCTTTTCTATGTAGTAAGATTTTTAACAGAACGGGCCTCTACTTAACTCGAAGAACATAATACTGCGCTTGCATAATTTATGTACGAAACCCTCAATTAATGCCCAAAGCCCTAATGTGCATTTAGATATTAGTTAAGAATATTCCACGCGTTTGCAAAGCTGCTGCAACAAAGTGATTGATCAGTTGCGAATGCGGTGTTTATGCCTCGCGGTTCCCGTCGACAATTACGGGTTTGAAGGATGCGTCGTGCCGATAGGTAGGCAAGGTAAGGAATTCGTCCTTTCTCGAAGGAAGATCCCGAGGATGACGAGAGAAATGGCAGTGTCGGGGCTATTGTCCAGTGAGAGAATCGAAGAAGCGTCGGTGGAATGAATCGAGAATGAAGTGAAGGAGGTGGAGAAAGAAGATGGGGGGCATCACCCCCGGGCATGGTATAAATCGCTATGGACAGACAGCATGTTCGACTAATTACAGATCCCTGATTACCGACAGACGCGATCGCGGCCGCCTAATAAAGAAAAAATAAATTAATAAACCTCTAATATCGTGGCCGACCGATCTCGCCTGTGGTCTTGGGTAAAAAAAAGAAGTGTTTATTAATTTATTATGATCGAGGCGCGATAAAAACCGTGGCCATATAGGTACGTCTTCGGATCAAAGGATTCGAAAATGTTCCTCGCATTGCAACGGCTGGAACCGGATCCGCCTTCGTAAACCCTTCTCTTCTGTCTATGTTAATGCGACTTCATCATATCTCGTCACATATCAAAAATTTATTCCTCCTTCTTACATTAATGTCGAGAATCGTGTCCCCATGCATTATTAAATCTACGTTCCATATTCAATATTTTTACCTGCATTTAGCAGAATTTTTCCTAAAATATAAAATAATATATATACATCATTTATACATTTATTAAACATTTATTAACTTTGCAAAAGAAATAGAGATAAATATATTCATATCCTTTTCGAGAATTTAATCTAAAATAGAATCTCAAAACGCAAAGTAATTTCACATTATACTTCAAAAGGCCAAAATATCTCCCACACACGCGAGTACATAAATTATCTTGCCTAGTAGAAAGGTTAATTAAGCACACAAGATTTATCTCCGACCGGCACATCTCAATTTACCTAAGTTTCGAATTAGCAAATAAACTAACGTTCCTAGTAATCTTCTATGCCGAAGGTTAAAGAAACCATTAAAGAAATCGTCGACGAGAATTGGACTGCCGCACGTATCGAATGGGCGGCGATAATACGGTGGGAAAGAGAGAGGCTGTTGACTCGAAGGAGGAGAAAAGGAGAGATAGCGGAACACGGTGAACTTCCGCGTGGGCCTATCTTGGGCCCGCAAAATGGCGGTGACAGAGGCGTTTGTCCGTTTGCGGCGACCTCGGAAGGATTTATATTCACGGCGGCGAAGATTCAACCGGAGTTACCCGACAAGGCAGCCGAGACCCCCTAATGAACTGTGGCGAAACCGGGCCCCGGGTGCGTCAACGGGGGCGTTTTCACGGGCAATTAATGCGGCCTTAAAGGGACCGCGCGAAACGCCCCCGCGAAACGAACTAGAGCTATCTCGATTAAATCGAATCCGTCATTTCTGCACGTCCAATTGTCATGAATCAACACACGCTCACGGAAAAAATAGATTAGGTGATTCATCACAGCTGTAGCTTACTGGGCGAATTCAACATCTTTAGCTAAAGAGGTTTGATGGTACAACAAAGAAATTATATCTGTAAGCAATTATCTAATGCTAATTCAGTTAATTCTTTGCTACAATTGTTAATGTAACAAATAAAAATTATTAATGTAACAAGTTTTCTTCATTACAGCAGCAAAGAACGCGCCTTTTAGCTAGCATGTTTTGTTAAAAATTTTGATCTACATATTGGATTGATTTTAAAAAGTTATCTTTACTGTATTAACAAATTTATTGTGCTATTGCAGCAAATATGATTACCTATAATCGCTAATTTTATTCAGTTATACAATTTTGCTACTTTAACATGGAAAATTAACTGTCCGTATTTTATAGCTGTAGACAAAAAGCAGTATTTGAAATACATACATAATATTAATTTTAAATACATTTTTGTATTTTGTATTTCGTATTTGAATACTTGTTTTAAGATTATTTTCTATTTTGCATTTAAATACAATTTTTTTAAGTATTTCATATTTTGTATTTAAATACAATTTTTTTAGTATTTTGCTCACTCCTGGCTGTAGTTTGAATAAGTAAAGTTTTTAGTTGCTTAATCTTTTTTTTATGATCTACATTCATAATTTATCTATAATAGCCATAGCGGAAATAAATGCAACAGCTTTCTCAGAAAATTTAATTTATTAATTAATTAAAGTAATATCATATTTTTACACTTATTTCTATACGGTGGAAATTTAAATCAAAGTAGGAGAATTCCATATTTATACTTTTCATATTTTCCATTTAAGATATGTACAAATGTCAAATTAAAACCGATATTTTATTCTATAAATAATAAAATCCAAACCTTAATGCCACAGTAATTAACATTAATAATTATAAGACAGTTATATTTTTACTTGTTTTACTCACCAGATTTGCACCATTAATTTGCCCGATGATTCTAACCGGAGTATCTTCATGGAGCTGAAAAAAAATGAAACACAACATTTAGCAACGGCGAATAGCTGCAACACTCGGACAGGACGTAACGCGCAATTCATTATACGTAAAACCTTAACAACTTTATTAGGACAAGATCGTTAGCGTTTAATTACATTATCAGAAGTATTATTAGATTGCTGTCCAAATGAAATGTGACTCGATTCCTTAATAAGCGAATGTAATCGGCGCGCTGGTGGCGCAGCGTATCTCAAAGGCACCGATATCGGATCGTTAACGGATCGGAAACGCGTATGTTCTTAACGATTGACCGAATATCGAAGTCGTCGCGGATGAAAAGCGCAGAAAGGAGACCTCGTGAGATCGAGATCGCGGCGGCGATATTAATAGTCGGCCGCGGCGACGCAATGAGGCCGCAACAAATTTCTTATGGGCGATGTAAATCGACCTATAAGTCGGGATAGTTACACTATTTAGCCAATTAACGGAATGCGACCGGTTTTCAGGCGCACGAAGAAAGAGAGTGATCTTCTCAGCGGGATTATAGTCCAGCGGACGAACCAAATGGGCATCTGTAGTTTTAGGGCCGGTCGTATCAATGGGATAAAGAGCGGATTTGATCGATTACAGTCAAGTAGATTAAGAAACCATCACTTTAAAAGACACCTGTACCTAATATAAAATCAAACTTGATCACGCAATAATCTGATCGGTATCTTGAAAAGTAGAGAAATTGATTGTCACTTTGAATATAAGTATGGAGGATAATTTAGATTGATGCATAATTTTGCATTCAAGTACACATTTATGTAAAGTAAATTAATTGCAAAACTAATTTTCTACAATATTCATCGAATATGCTGAAAATATAAAGAAAATCTTCAAAAAGAAAAAATTTTTCAAGGCATTCGATTATCTATATCTTTCTAAGGTTGACGATTTGTTTATTAGATTCACTCAAACATATTCTTTACTGCTACATCTGTAAGTTTGGATAATTGTTATTAAAATAAATTTAATATTTATTTTTTTATACGCTCTATGTCGTTTTGTTGCTTAAAATTAGTTAATGCCTTTTATATATATTAAATTTAATAGATATATATTAAAAAAAAAAATAAATTTTAATACATCATTTATTCGAATAGTATCAACTATAAATATAAAAATATAATTATTTGATACAAAGACCAGTAATCTGATTTAATATTTTTTTTTATTGAGTAAACATTTATTTATTGTAAGTAAATAGTTAGTTTGCACTATTCAAATAATTGTTAAAATTTAGTACATTTTTTCTCAGACCCAATATTAATAATTACTAAACTATATCAGAGATTTTAGCATCAACTGTGAAGAATCAATAGCGGAAAAATAAGAATTGCCAGTATATTATAAGCGAGGAAGGGAGTCTACCCTAACTATCTAATTTGCGTGAATAGCGAAAGATTGTTAAGCGGCATGCGGTGGGTAACCGGAAAAATTACGAGCCTCGCACAATCCAGTCGAAGGCCAGGGCCGTTACTTTTGTTTAATATTATTATTGCTCCGAGAACGTTTCGAGAGGGACGTTTGCAGGGAAACGCTCTGTTCGCGACGGATAATAGCACTGACCTTGTCGATTCCGAACGCAGTTTTAGCACGGCGATTGAATAAACGTGGAATAAAGGTGTCATAACACAAGGCAATAATGCCAGGACACCGACGTTTCGTTCTGAGCGAACTTATCGGTGCCGTTTTCCGCAGCGTGCTGCCTCGTTCGCGCGCGAATTACGACAGTCGTACATTGAGCGAGTGTCGCGAAAAAAATGTGGCTGCTGTGTGGGGAAATGGAACTCAGAGAGACGCGAGTAAAACCGCTATTTCAGCATCGTATAAAGCTTCTTAATTTAGATCTCTCGTATGAATCCTTTATTATATGTAAGCGATGCAAGAAGAATTTTAACAAGTTTGTCAAAATATTTTATATATCACTATTCCGCATCTGTCCTAAATTCGCTTGTCCCTGCAAACTAAATGATACATTTGGAATTCTCTTTAGAAAAATTGAGAATAGTTCGCTTCAATAATGTTGATTTTCTTGCTCTCTAGAAATAAGTAAGTCTAAATTATTCAACAAAATCTGTTTGATAAAAGGTCGACATATATTTATATATTTATATATGTATATATTTAAGACGTTCATGGCTGCGCATGGCTAAGACCGCGCAAGTCGCAAATAAAATCCTCAACCTACACAAGAACTCATGATACATGCAGGATATTGTACGTCGTACAACGCAAAGGATCGCGCAAATACATCGCGAGATTAAATAAGGATGCGGACTTGCCCGCGTGACCTGGCATTCATATGCTAAAACGACATTCGGAATTGGTATGCCCAGACGATGACGAATCCGGGCGTGTCCGCGGATCTGATTGAAGACGACTGATCTGCCTATCGAGTTCATTCTTTTTCAGCTCATACTGATCGTAACATTTGTCAGGAACAATGAGCCGCCTTCATAAGAAACTAAATTTCTGAAGTGGAGACACGCGGGCGCTCTTGGGCCACAGCAGACGCGTCGATTATCAAACATGAGTGCATTAAGTATAACACAGAGACGCGATATCTAACTCGTCAACGACATAATGGTTGCAGCTGCTAAGTAGACTCGAAGTATTGAATTAATTGTAAGTCTTCAAACAATTCCAAACGAAACTTTCTTACAAAAATTTTTGAGGAAGCGAGCTTTTTAATAAAGAAACTTATAAGAAAAAAATTAAAGATCTTGTTTTCTAAAAGTTTTCGGAGTTACTGAATTCAAATCTGATTCAGAATTCTAAAATTCTAATTTAAAAAACAATAACCTGATCGTAAAACTTAATTTTAAGAGGTTCTTAGTATCGCCGAGTTTGAATGCGTATGAGTTTTAAATAAAGCAAAACTGAAATCTTGATATTAATCTGCAATTAAATATTTCCAAAAAGCGAATTATACAATAATCAGATTATTTCATTTCTGTTCGCCATGTTGGACTTATTATTTCGAATTTTTTTATTTTCGACAATTAGACTTTACAAAACATTATCAAAAAATTATCCTATAAACTAAATTTTATAAAAATCGAACGAACAATTTACAAAATGAAAGAGGATGTCAACAAAAGCTAATGCTACAAATTTTATAAATATATTTTATTCTTAAATTTTTAACATTAAATATAATGACAATCACACCTTTATTAAGATTAATTAAAATCTCTTAATTCAATTTAAAATTGCGATCGAAAGAGCATTGTATTCTTTTCACATCTATTCTTTCTAAATTTTAATAAAAATTATTTAATATTTAATCTGCAGTTTTACTTTAAAAATTTTCTTTGAATTGTTTTGATATGTATGTATAATATATAGTTCGTATTGTTCGATACATTTGCTGTATCTCTAGTATATTCATGAAACAGGCGTGTTCATTTTCGCGACAGCGATATCAATCGAGATTTGCGCGAGAATCATCATAAATTGATGCCGATTGACGAGCGACATGGCCAAACATCGTGGCACATTCACTGTCAGTCCATCGGCCGCGCATAAAAATGTCAGCCGCGAGGGCAGCCGTATAACAATCGGGTCTTGAGAAGAAATCTCGAACCCACATTCCGCAACCAAAGGAGAGAAGGACCGCGAGAGGAAAGCAATCTACCGAGAACGACCTGCGTACGCCTTCTGCATTAACCCTCAACTACTGCGGTTAAATTTGGATAACGTTTATTGCTCTCAAGATCTTATCCTTCGAATTGAAGTCAGACGCCGTTTGCAGAGATTTTAATGTACATAATGTAGTATATAAATATTTTGCGATATAGTATAATTACAAGAAAATATAATAGAAGACATAAGAAGACATAGAAGATGTAAGAAAATTTGAAGTTATTGAAGAGAAAGAAAAGTAGGTCGAACAAGAAGAAATAAAAATTTATTTTTATTTTTATTTTTTTTTTTCAATTTAAAGTATTATTTATTATTTCAAATTGAAAAAAAAAATTTGCTTACGCACTAGGTGAGATCATTTAAGATAAAGTAGCCACCCAGCAGAGAGACGAAAGTAA